TTTCCAGAAAACGGGGTCTTCAAGAGTCATGGGCCCGAACCCTTTTAGGATTTTCTTAGTCTCACTGAGTCCTACTCATAGCCAAAATATGGAGTCAAACGGCGTCCGACAGTTGGATAGGTTCCCTAGTAAGCTTCTGAGCTAAATTAACTAATATCATTTTATCCAATTTGAACGGCGATTAATTCAAGTATTGTAATATTGTAAATGCAAAACGTCTCAATCATAAACATGGCCTATGTGGAAGAAAAAACTGCGCTAATTTTAAAAATATTTGGTGTCGAACCCTCCAGAAAAAAGAATGAACAAAACGAGAAAGTTAACATTTTTCGAGAAAATCGTCTCTAAAACGTAAAATGTTTGCAGAACACTTTCAAAAAATACATATTTTATCCGAAACTATTGAGGTTTATGTCTAAAAAATATTGGTTTTATTGCCGCAAATAGGAGCCGAATATTAGGGGAGTGTAAAACAAAATGTCTTTCTCTGAGACAGTGTAAAATTGATAAAAAACAATTCTGTGTGAGAAATAATGAATAAAATAATAGCAGCTTTTTCAATTATTCGGAAGGTGCGCACCCTCCCGTTATTTACGACTCTGTTTATGTCTATCGCTAATTTTTCCTGGCATTTTCCATCTAGCGATATGCAAAAGAAGAAACCTCGAAAACGTTTGGAGATCTGGTCGAATATTCCACTCTGTCTTTCGCATCGAGTCACGCACAGTCTTTAGACGTTTAGGAAAATTTTGAACATCACAGATAAGCTCTGGAACGCAATTGATTTCTTGCTTTGTTCATTTTTTGTTTACTCTAAAAAGCTGTTGGCTGTAAAACTCTCACCACTCTAGTCGAAAACATTCAAAACTCAGTCCAAGACATTTACTTTGCATACCTTACGACACTCGTCTCACTGGACATACATTCAAAGTCATTCATGGTGTGTTACATCGCTCCATTATATAGTTCAAGCACAAATTCTTCCTTTTACAAGATTATACTACCATAAAAGCTTAATTAACAAGAGCGTGCTCTTTCTCATCTCTCCATCCGCTCTTCTGACGTGAGATGCTTTTGATGTTGTTTGGTGTGCATACAGAACGAATTAAAAAATCCGAGAAAATTTTCTGAAATTTTTTATCCCTCACATAATTGCTTAGGTTAGCTAAGAATTCATTTGTCGTACCATACTCAAAGCTTCAATTATTCATTACACCGAATGTTCAAGCTTCGAAGTGACAATGAACACTTAGGGCTTTTCTTCTAAACTCTATAACTTTACAAAGAAAGGTCGTATAAAGCTGGTGGATGCCTCATTTTAATCAGAAATTTCCGGGCTACAATCATGCCTCATTAAGAAAGGTTTTGGTTATATTTTAGAGTTTCTGAAAAACTGGTTTTTCGGAAAACCGGGTCTTCAAGAGCCATGGGGAAAAATCCTTTAGGATATTTACTACCTTGATATACTCTACCGATCGATGTATGAATCATTGAAATCGGAGGTGGACATCTCGGGTGGTTCCCTCGTAAGTAACTGATAAATCCATATCGTACAGACTCCATTTATAGCTGGAGATTTCTCTTTTTTATTGTATTAATGTTAGTGTAGATGCACTAATGAATATCACCGGCGTGTTACTGATAAAAACTATGTCCGTCTATCTCAGATGATTACTATTGGCAAAAACCCGTAAGTTTCGGTAGTTCAAATGAACACAACGCTTGTAATTTCCTAGCAAACCTTAAACATACAAGAAAACTAGGTGTCAAAGTTGACCTCATGAACATTTTATGCCGTGATTGGAAAAACTCCGTGTTTTAAATGAATAATTTTATTTTAATGTTTGTGCCTTAAACGACTAGTTGCACTACAATTAATTTTCGGCTATCTACAGCGTTTTTCTGGGATTGTACAACTAAGACTTTGATCTAGAGCTGGTATGTAACATGATTATTTCTGTTGAGATAGTCTTTAATTTATAAATAACGTCCATCTCGGGAGATTTCCTCGTCAGTTCTAGCTACTGCTCTTGTCTTTTGCCTAAGGAACTAAATAGCGTCGTCGAGTTGTTCAACGTTATTTAGAAGGTTTAAAAGCAAAAATTGTGTATAAACCCTCGCAATCATCACATTTTAGATTTGGTTTTCGAGGTTTAGATATGAATTTTAAATTGTCCGTTATACCAGCATCTTCAAAAGCTTGACTAACTTGTTTTGCACTGATTGATAAGGAATAAATTATTTTATTTCCAACATGATAATAGCTCTTATTTGTTACACCATTAACTAACAGCAAGCCACCAGGTTTCAACAAACGTTCCAGACGTTTTATTGTTTGCTTAAAATGTTCAACTGTTTTACAGACTTCCAGACAAAGGCTAGAATAGATCATATCAAATTGGGGAGGTGGATCAAAATCAAAAGAAACTAATGATTCATCATTATTAACATCACAAAGAAATAAACCTCCTTCACGCAGAGCCAAACGAAGTTGTTCTTCCCATTGTTCTTCTCGATCATTATTATTAGTTGCTACTGTCTTAGTGATGGCGGCTGAAGATGCTTCCTAAACAAACAAATTCTTAGTTAATTAAAAGTTAATTTTTTCTAAAGACCAAAAAGAACTGAATGTTACTTGTTGTTCATTGTCATGCATTTGAATTATAGAATTGAAAAATGCTTTCCAATTATGAGCTGTTGGCTTTTTATCTATCCAATCTTGAACCATTTGTAGATTTTTTTTCAAATAGTCACAGAACCAAATTTCCTCAAAATATTGAGCGAAAAGAAATGATGCCCAAAGGACAGGGCCACCCCCAAATTCTAAAACCTTGCTGTCTTTCTGTTTAAACCTATCAGAAAATTGATGAAGGATTTTAATAACGTTCCATGGCCAGAATGCTTCAGCATCACAGTCTGTCACCGACGAGTAAAATCCGTTGAGATAATCGTAAGAATTAAATGATGTCTCGCTTAACTCTAAAATATTAAGCTTCTCTTGCGCAACCGAATCCGACATCTTTTATTTCGCTAATGAATATAACTGTACTTGGCAAATGTAGTTGTGATTGAATCTAAATTAAACGATAAAACAAGTAAGATGCACGGCATACAAGGTTACAGTAAAAGATTGAAGTACCTGTTTAATACACCATTCGATAGAGAATTCGACGGCGATCACGAATATGTGTTCCCCACGTAACGTAAACCCCTTTCTCACTGTGCTATGCTCAAAATGCTGGGACCATGTCAAAAACCCGAAAAAAGTAAAGTTTTGAAAAAGTGGCCCCAGTTTTTCCGTTCCGATTTGGGGTTTTGAGGTTTGATGTTAAGTTTTTCGGATTCATAATTGAACACTGAATCTGGAAAACTAACTCTCAAAGCCATAGGACGAAAAATGAATTTTTCCCAAGGCCCGAAACCGATGCAGCTCAAACCCGACACCATCACCTCGCAAAGTTTTCACAGATTTTTCTTGAAATCGAAACGTCGATATTTACACATGGCTAGATTCGCCTTTCAACAAGGAACAAAGTTGTACGTCCAGTTTCTCGAAATGTTTTTTCTTCGCTGAAAATTCATTTTTTCTAAACCAGAGGCGAAAAAGTCGGAAAACTCTGCAGTATCCAAATAATTCTTACACTCACTGTATGTTATATACCTTCTTGAGACTAGAGACTTGAGAAAAATATTTGCTGATCTGTTATCCTCATCAAACAGTCATTTACAGAGGGTATACAATATACAGTGAGTGTAAGAATTATTTGGATACTGCAGAGTTTTCTCTTGCGTAGTCAATACAAGAGATGAGAAAATCATTCTTTTACTGTTCTTTTTCTACTGCACAGAGCGAAATTGGCTCTACATTTCAATCTACTTGAACAAATTTTAACGAGCTTACATGATTCTATAGTTGGCCTTCTTTGATACTAAGTTGACTTTTGGAATGAAATTAGTATTTCGATACTTTCGTCTACTAAGTCACGCTTCATTTGATCACTTTTTCTGTGTTCTTATTCATCGACTAAATTTCAATGCAAAATACAATGAAGGAGACTGAATACATTGAAAATATCAAGAAAAAACCATACCTTTTAAGCTTCAAACTACTCGAATATACCAGTTTTAGTGAGACTAATTAAGAGGGGGCTTTTAAGAGACGAGCACATTTTTCCTATAGAACATAGTATGGTAAAATTTACGACTCTTTTAAGGGATGCAAAACTTCTTGTTTCGTCTTGTGTCTTTGCAGCAAAGACAAAACTTTCTAAAGCAGACTGATAGTGAGGAACACTGTTTCCTTCAATCGGACACTTTATACCGACCCGAACAAGCTATATTCAGTGAGGAAATCGTTAACAGAAAACGTCAAGAAAGTGAGTAAAGAGTCTAGAAGACAAAAAAAAGGCGCAATTAACCGGTAGAATGCTGTTTAGTTAACTGATGTTTATCGGCTTTTTATCAAATTGTTGTCACTTTCGTTGGGATTTCTTATGTAAGAATTTAATAAGATTCTTATCTGAGTCGCATCAGATTCTTATAAGTTCCTTGTCAAATTCCTATTAAACGAAGGTTAAGATGCACGGCATACAAGGTTACAGTAAAAGATTGAAGTACCTGTTTAATACACCATTCGATCGATAGAGAATTCGACGGCGATCACGAATATGTGTTCCCCATTTTGGGGGTTTTGCTACTGCACAGAGGGATTGTTTTTCGCCATATTAAGGTTATATAGAGTCATGTATTGACAGCATGAAGGATGCTGTCTACATTGCACCGCGGGATGTCTGTATGCAGACATCCTGCTTTCTGTAATATACTGGTCTATTATTGCTCGATATATTGACTTGATATGAATATTAACGTTGTAAATTTATGGAGTATATGTGTTATATGGATACGTGCTGTGGCTGAAAAAACAAAAAGATGAATAATCCGACCGTCGATATATCGAGTAATATATTGGACAAGTTAGATATATTGTGTATGGTATTAGGTTATCTAGGTATATTAACTATTGTATTGGGATTACCTAGATAGGATTGCCCCATACTCAATACCTTTTATTCGCTTGGGAGATGTTTAGGTTGATATATTGATCTGTAATAGACCAATATATCGGGGACTGTAGCTCCCTACACCAGCCTTTTTTTGCATCCCAATATATTGAGACGATATCGGGATGCACTAGATACTATGTCCAATATATCTAGATAACTTCATGGTAGGATTGCCCAATATCACAACAAAATATCTAGATCTAACATCCAGATATATCGGGCAAAATATCGAGTTATCTAGGTATATTGACTATTAATACTGTACTGGGTTAGCTAGCTTGGATTGCCCAATATTCAATGCTTTCTTTTTACTTGTATCCAGGTATATTGGGTATTGGATTGGGTTATCTAGGTAGGATTGCCCAATACTCGATACTTTTTATTCGCCTGGGGTTCATCGTACATCAAAGTGACCTTTTTAGCTGGTGAGGCACTTGTTTTTTGTGCGTGTAGCAGTTTTAGTTTTTTTTCTATTTACGTAAACTATTTTAGTAGTAGACAAACGCGTCGCAAACTATGCAGGGCAACGAAAGGAGTCATTATTATTACTATCCGATAAAAACACGTATGTTTCAAGAGAAAAGCGACTGAACACCTTAGGACCTTCTCTCGTGAGCACTACAGGAAGTTTAACATGGAACGAGAAGGTCTTTTAATCGTCACATGTCGCATTCACGGATGTTATAAAGACTGCGAAAAGGTAAAGCGATATCATTGCCATCAGAGCGCAAGAATTTTACATTAATCTCTAAAAAAAATGATCTGTAAGCATGTGCATAGGTTATTTATCGCTACATTCATAACTGAATTTTTGCCACCAAAGGAAAATTTTAGATTCATACCTGAAATTGTTAATTCAGAACATGATCCACCTACAAAAAACATCCTAGACTATGGTGATGGCTGAAGATCTTGTTGTTCTTTTTACTTGTTGCATTCGAGGCATATAACGCTGGCAGGCTATCATTGATTAATATTCCATTTGAGTCGGTATGTGTAAGTTGAAATATATATGGCAAGACGCTAGTAATATTCTGTTGTATTGCATTTATTCTCGCGGTTCGACATTTAATATTAAAACAACCAACAACAGATGTTTCTAATGTAATAGTTTATTAAAAAAAAGTAAGAAATTAACATGGAGGAATCCGTTATATGTACACTAATTTTATACTTACCAAGAAAACCTATTAACGACGTTGTTATATTTGTTACTTCCGTTTGACTGCGACTGATACCTACTTGTTCAAAGGTAATTAACTGGTTTATTTTTCTTGATACATTTTCTATATTAGTTTTATACACAGAATTTCTGTTTACAAATTAATTCGGTAAGTTAGTCTTTTCTACATTGAATTACATACGTAATTTAATTTTAGTAACAGTAGTCCTGAGAATCAGTTTGTTTTATAATTGCATCACCTGATACATATACGTTGAGCGAACTCGCACATATACATCTGAGCTAACTTATTAAATTAATTTGTAAACAGAAATTCTGTATATAAAACTATTATAGAAAATGTATAAAATTAAAATTGAAACATAAACTGACGTAAATAAAGCAGTTAATTATCTCTGAACAAGTAAGGGAAACCACTATTGGGTTTACTCTCAGTTCGTCGCAAACTGCTCACTCTCACACCTGCTCGCCCCTTTGATGTTGTTTGATCTTACCAAGCCAATTTGGGACGAACTGAGAGGACACCCCACTATTGGCATCTACTTCATTTTTTATACAAAAAGAAAAACTAGTTTTTTGGTGTATATTGACGGTCCGATATCTCCACAAATTCAGCTGACCTTTTTCTGAAAAATAGCTGAGCATAATCTGTAACTTGTGCACCCGAATTTACAGTAAAAAGGGCAAGTAAGTACTTTCGACTTAATGCGACATTAATTGATCAAGTTGACGAATTATGCATTAAATTCACAGTGAACAAGAAAAAGATACGAAGCTAAATTCACGCTAAAATAGAAAAGAGAGAACAAACATAAAGCGCTATATTTCAAGTCCTATGTTAATGCATCGACAGCCGATATAACAAGATATAAATTATGATATCATTAAAACAAATAATAAATAATCATACTCAAAACAGACAATAACATATTTTATTTTAATTCAGTACACTATTAAATTTTTTAATAAAAACCATCTTGCTAAAAAATCCAGATTCTCGGCTGCTTCAATTGCAGCTGGAATCCACATATATCATATAAATAGCTCTTGAAAAGCTCTACAATATTCTGCCCCATAGCAGCAAAAGTAACGGGAAAACATCAACATATGCCCTTCTATAAATTGAATGCTGCTCCATGAATACATGTTATAGAGAGCTGGGAGACGTCTCAATTTCTTCAGAAATGTTTGCTCTACATGACAGATGTATTTGCAAAGAATTTCTAGATTGAGCTCGGGGATCTGATTTTCTGAGATTTGGGTTTTCCAGAGACCCGTATTTCAGGAGTTTTGATGGAACGTCTGTGTGCATCTCCTAAGATCGAAAATTCTTTCAGCTGTTCAAACCTTTTTCCAAATTTATTCTAGTTGTTATGGTCGACGACAAAAATGAAAACTAAATCTAACGAACAATTTTTAGAGCCACTGTGGGATTAAGTGGCGAAGTATTTAATACACAAAAGCCGCTGTCCAGCTTCGTTA